CCGGCGTCTCTTTCTGAGGCGCTTTCCGGGGCTCCTGCCGGAATCCTCCGCGGCCGGGGCTGCGTCCCCCGGGGAGACCCTGCCGAAGCCCCAGGCATGGGGGAGCCCCTGGCTTCGAACAGAGACCCCCTTAGCTGAGCCGCCCAAGCGGTGCTGAACGCATCCCGCCTGCACTGGGGCGAGGGCTGACGCTGGGACCGGGGCTTGTGGTTTTGGCCCTGGGCCCACCAAAACCACATACCTTGCCTCAGCACGGGCAGGAGATACCCACACCTGAAGAATGGTGTTGGTGTGAATTGAGTTCGCCGAGAGATAACTTACACTGAAAGTGAGGTAGGTTTGCGTTGATACTGGCATGCTTTGTTAGACAGCAGCAATTAGTGCCCGGGTAATGACTGCATGGAGCCACCTAATGAATACTATCTACTGGTAAACCTAAGGTAAGAGTACTGGGGCAGAAACCATGTACCATGAAGTGGCTGCCAGTCACTCTTCATGCGTCCCATTAAAAACCTTCACCTTTTCACCCACAAGACAGTAAATTTTAGCCTTTTAGGGCAAGATAATATAATTACTTGGGTGTTAAGTGAGGGTACTGCATAAAAGAAAAGCACTGCTTCTATAAACTCATGTGATAATTGGGTTCATACATAGCTATCGGATGCTAACATTGATAACTGGGGTTTTTTCAACGGCCCTATCTGTAACTGTTCTGTTATTGTGCTTAAAGTATGGAGTGTGTGGTCTTCTCCAACTTTGTCATGTGATGAGAAAAAGCAGATGTGATCATAGGACTTACCAGCTGAAGTCTCAGAAATTGAGAAGTGCTGTTGATATTGTATGCATCGGTGGCATCACTTTATCTGGTGGGTCAGATTTTGCCCAGATGTGCAGGAAAGGTAGATGTGATCTTTAATGGATATGCAAGAGGATGTTTAACTTGGGCAGAGTAGTAAAGGATCAAAGTTTGTCTGAGGGTTGAGATAAAGCATGGCTGAAATGGTCGGGGGAATAGAAACGAGCTGACTTCAGCATTTGTAACTGAAAACTAATGATACTCTTGCTAATGATTCTTCTTGGGAAGTGCTTTATGCTTAAGCTTTGAGAAGTGTTTTTTATGTGACAGTTGGAAGCTTTTAATGTGCTGTTCTTACATTGCAGTCATTCAGGCTTGAGAGGGGAAAGAGAGAAAGAAAACAGCCAGTATGTTAAGGAACGTATCAGCCCAATGCAATGCTGAAGAGCATGGGATGTCCCCTAAGTAATCCATCCTAGTACATGAACATCTCCATTTCCTTACCATCACAGCTGTGCCAGCTGATGCGTGCAGTGGGAAGATGCCACTTGGCCAATTTTAGTCCTAAGAATTGCTGTTTCATGACATCTCTGTTTTGACAGGATTAGGATTTTCCATGAACTAAACAAAGCAGCAGGTAGAAACAACCAAGTCATGTGGAAATCCAAATCTACAGTGAATGCAGTTGTGTTGCATCTTTTGCATCAGGTCAAATATGTAGGGAAGTTTAACATTTTCTTCTAACTAATCTTGGGGCTTTTTAACATATGGGCTAGTCATGTTGCTCTTTGAGTCTTTACGGTAATTTGGTAGCTACTCGCAGATGTAGTGAAGTATCGCCAGACAGAGCATCTCGTAAGGACTAAGCTGCGTGCAAATGTACTCTATGTATGTGTGAACAGTTGGGAAGAGCTACTTGACGAAGACGAGATGCTTCGTGTGTAAGGAGTAAGTATTTGCCTTTGCTATACTCTAAAGGAGATAATTGATTTCTAAAACCTAACCAAAATACTTGAAACATATTTACATGTTAACCTAGGTGACATGGTCAGTTTGAGAAAGAGACTTCATATGATTACTTCTTCAGTTACTAACTATTGGATTTTAACTTTTTTCAGTTTTGGGTGAGGATTGTCAGGCATATGTTGGTCGCCATGGCCAGGCACAACCTCCAAAATCCTGTCCCAACTTCTGCTGTGGAGATTGCATGTATCGATACTGTTGCTCTAATGTGTTCTTAAAATTTGATGAACAACGACAATTTCAGTGTAATCTGCTTGATGGAAGGTATGAGGCAAACTAAATGTATAGAGCAAGTTATAATTCTATCATCAAATGACAAAAATACACAATTTAAGGGTTAAAAACTCCCAAGGGGACCTTTCAGCTCTGTATCTGGTTCAAACTACATTAATGCATATAACTTACCTGTACCACAGGAACAATGAGCTGGACAAATTGATGCATGGACTGATGTGTGGTTTTTTGAGCATTTTCAAATACTTTTACCCTATTTCATTTTTCTTTGAGGATAACAAAATTAATCTCTTTAAGTGTGCATTGCCTTTCATAGGCATTTGGAACTTAGCCAGGTACTTGAATAAGTTGTAAATTCCATTTTTGAGATGAATTCTCTTACTACAGGACCTCTGACTCAAGCAACGTAAATTACATGCAGCTTTTTTCGGATCCTGATGATTACATTTCTTCTGGCCCCAGGTAAGCCATGCAAAGTCTCAGCTTTTAAAATTATACCTATTTAGAGGTAGAGGTTCTTCAGGTTGGACTCGATGATCTTAAAGGTCTTTTCCAACCAAAGTGATTCTATTCTTCATTCTGTAATCAGTACACGCCAACAGACAATGAGGAGTACTGATTTGAGTGTTAAGAACGTGGAGCACTCAAACCTGTGTACATGTCGGAATGTTTGCAGAGTAGAAATGTGAGGAAGGGGTTAGATGGTGCTGTTTAGACCATAAGGATCGCTGGATGTCATAGTCCGTATTCCTACTGCTGAATGCGAGGTTGTCTGCTACAGCGTTAGCGTGCTTGCTCTGTACTCTTAGATACCGATGGGTTAAGTCCGTAGCGGCTTGATAAGAGAAGCTGCTTTTTATTTTAAATATCTCCTTGATTTTTAGCATCTTTTGTGCTTAGTTTTTATCAGCGTTTCGTGTTCTGTTTCAGTCCTGGGCAAAATAAATTATTTTAGGTTCATGCATTATTTGGGCGATTACAGGAGTCCTGCAGCAAAGCGTTTCTATTTTCCGTGGAGTGGGAGAGGACAAGGGTTAACTCTGAGCTAGGAATGCTTGACGCATCTGCGGAAGTTTGAATAATTAACGCTTCCAGGGATGACAGAAAGGGGGAACTCCGCCCGGGGGGGTGGGGCGAGCGGCGTGACGTAAGGCGGCGGAGCCGGCA